ATCTTGATGAATCTCCCATTATTCAGTGAACATATATTATCACAATTAAGGGAAATCATTGGTATCTCAAAACATCACAGGTTAGATAGAAGGGTGAAAAATGTTATGCCATTACTATGGAATATCTTATTGTGGAATTTTCTGTGCTTCCATAAAGTCGCACAATGTCGTATGCAGCAGTTAGTGAATAAAAAACATAGTAAATGGAACAAGCTGTCAAATGTTTTGATATAGGATAAACTAGTTTCTGTACATTCGTTTGTCCTCTTCAGTCTTACATTGCTTGTGGCAAGAAAATTATTCACCAATGTCAACAAACGTTGTTGACCAGTTTTCCTGCCAAAAGACAACGTGGACTGAAGAGGACACATGGGTTTGTAAAAACTAGTTTTTCCAATATAAAAAATCTCTGACCGTTTGTTCCAATTATTCTGGTTTTTTTGTTCACTTTTTTTATGTTTCATCTAATGTGTGTATGGTGTTCCACTTTAATTCTTGACTATTTAATATTGAAAAGACTTCATTTGGAAGAAATCACATGATCAACAACTAAAAGGGCAAGGGAACAAAAGGGAAGGTTGTCACTGAAGTGAGACAGTTATTAGGTCTACGAGAAATCCACTCCTGGATGTAGGACTTTTGCAAATGTTGTGAAGGTCCACATTTTTTTTATTGTGGTTAATGCCTCAGGAAGGAGAGCTCCTGACAGTCAGTGCACTCAAATCAGTTGATCGAGTTTTCTCCCTGAAAATCGACCTTAGTGTGAAGGAGACAGAGATTGTTGAAAGTTGTTATAATGATAAAGTGCTTGGTAACTCTGGGACCAAATGAAGCAGTCTCTATAGGATTTTCAGGCCTTTATCAACCATAATAATCCATCCCAGCTTTGGTCAAAGCCAAGAGAGAATACTTCAGACAGAAGGAGATGTAGTTGGTGGATGATGTCTACCATCAAGAGCTATCGCACCAGCAGGTGAGATGATGAATACCTAATCGTAAAGACGATGATTCATAGGGTAGTAGAGAGCTTCTACAAGTTTGGAGTTATCCTGCCAAGTGGCCATGAATTACTGGAAATACTGGGGTCAAGAAGGACAGATGGATAAGATGCTGGGAACAACTTGCCATGGACCAGGGACTGACTGCTTCTCTGAGGGTTGGGAACCATGAGGATGCCTACCAAATTGTACCCACGATGTCGATGATATCTCAGCCAGGTGTCTGACAACATTTCATAAGAGACTTATTTGGCCACAAAAAAGCATTTTATGCCCGCAAATTTCAAGACCACAGCACTAGAAGACATGGTCTACTTCCTGAAATACTTGGAATCGCTAGTCTCCAGAATCTGATACTGAATTTGGTCGGTCCAGCCCTAGACTCAGTCGAGTACATGGGGCATTGGGATAGTCATTGTCGAATTGTGCTGATGTTCACCCTGGTAAATAATGGAGCAATCCATTGAACTGACTACAAGGCTAGGAAGGGTGAGGCCAACAAGGGTCTGGTCACTTACATGGATGATTATCTATGCCATTTGCGTGGGATGGTATACCAGCCTATGGCCTCTGCAGGTCAAAAAACATATTGGTGGATAAGTACATTGAAAGGCTTCGTGGATTTATTATCGTCTTACAAGAAGAAGTTTCTGTCATGACAAGGTATGAAGTAATGGCTGCAAACTAGTCGCATGAGAGGAAGAAGCATGCAGTAGCAGCTTAGATATCTGTACCTCAGACAAGTCATTTTACCCAGCTACAAGCACGAACCATACCAGAGGTTAACCAATTACCCATACATATTAGTACTAGAGCACAACTGTGATAGAATTCAATAAGTGGGCAGAGCTATCCCAGTCCTCCCATGATTTATATGCCACGGCTGATCACCGATTATGCTTTCAACTGGGCATAGATATGAAAGTTAGGATTGTGTTGTCTGTTTTGAATATGGAACATTGGGTCACTATAAAGTTAACTTTCCATACCTTGTCATGCAGCAAAGCAAATTAGATTATCTATTTTGACTGACAGCTCAGTAACTTCAAGAGAGTCCACAGAAAGTGGTAGATGCTTCTGCCACAGCTCTGAAAAACTAACTGATTCAAAGTCGAGTCTGGGTTCTGACTGGAGGAGTACAGCAGTCAACTTGCACTGAAAGTTTGATGGTCAACTCAGTTCTCTCAGGGATGGGCGAAGCCTGGTATATATCTGTAAAGGAACAAGGGCGAGAGATAGAATTCGTTATGGACACAGGAACACTAATAAATCTTGCAATATATTAAGCCCTCCAAGTAAAACCAATGAATAACAATTTCATTCTGGCAATGGTAATAAACTAGAAGAAAAGGAGACGTAAATCTCCAAATATGTCTAGGTAACATTGTTCATAGAAAGAAGGTAGTTAACATTAACCTTGGTTCTGGTATTTGTATCATTGGATTGGGCATATTACTGAGTCTGGGAGAAATATCAGATGCTTGTCAGAACAGGCCCAGGAACAATGGACTTCATGAATATATATGGGAGAAGAAAACAAGTCATCCCGATGTACAAAAGTGGCGTTCAGTAGTTTACTGCAGATAAACTTTCTTGTGTCAGTACCATGTAATGTTGTTATAGAACCCATGCACCAAATGAGCTGTTTACTCTACAAAAAAACAAAACAAAAAACAAGCAGCAGTTATCTATCAATGGAAGGATGAAGTCCTGGTGCTGTTTTGCAATTATGGGTGAGCTGTTATCCAGCTTCACAGTAGAATGGTTAGCAAAGTGCAAGCAACGAAAGCTAGTGATAATGCTAAGGTTGTTTTGGTTGCACCACTCCAAGAAGGAGTACATGGATGCTAACACATCTAAAATTGTTGGTTGAGGATTGTAAAACACTCTGGATCCAGTGTAGTAACAGCAACTCAGTTGGTTCAATATGATAATGTATTCACAGGAACAAACGGACGATTAGGTCAGACAATAGTGACATAATGCCACATGTATACAGGTCCTCTATAATAAATAACTTAATTGGTTTTATGTAGTTGCACCTTATTAGCAAACAAAATATAAATGGGTTTTATAACCATAGCGACTGTCTGTAGCCAATTTCTCATCAAAGTTTGTTGGTGCTTTATTTTCGACAGATCTTCCAAAAATCAATTTTAATACTAAGATGCAAGATTTTTCTGATTAGTGAGATTTCACTGGACGTCTTCCTTGATGAGATAATTTTCTAGTTAAGATATATAACATTTGTAGACATGTGTTTTAAGTCTTTGATACTAAAAAAAATAGGTTGGTGAGGGATTTTCTATTTCACCTGAAAGTTCAAAGCGATCCTGATTCATATCCTTATCAAAGTTTCAGACAGGTCTTCCAGGATATCATTTATACTACTCATAATGTTGAACTTTCCATTGGATCTATATAGGCCATTGTTTCAGAATAAGGCTTGCATGGTGTATGATCTTGGGTGTATCCACCAATGATTGTAGCATGGAAACCAGACTTTTGCAACTATACCATAATTCCGATGTATTACAAAATGGACAGTTAATGTGTTCTTAATTCACCATAAGTAACTACATTTATATAAACAGGTTAGAATAAGTAACTACATTTATAAAAATAGGTTAAAATAAGTAACGTTGTGACTATTATAAAATGGTTTTAATAAATGTGAACAGCATTTTTATATTATTGTATTATGCAATATTATGTTGATATATATTTTTTCCATGAAAACTTATTATTGGCAAAATCTTGTGTATTCTTGAGTTAAATACATCGGACGTTGATCTATTATGGGGAGATAGACTGTCTTGCAGAAGGAAGAATAGAGTTAATAAAGTTTGGAGAACAGAGTTCCTTTATTCGTGTCCTTCTCGTTGTGTACTGTCTCATTGATTCTGTATTTATCAGTGGCTTTTTGACTATGTGCTGTCTCATTGGTTCTGTCTTTATCAGTGGCCTTTTGACTATGTACTGTCTCATTGGTTCTGTCTTTATCAGTGGCCTTTTGACTATGTACTGTCTCATTGGTTCTGTCTTTATCCGTGGCCTTCTTGCTGTGTACTGTCTCATTGATTCTGTATTTATCAGTGGCCTTTTGACTATGTACTGTCTCATTGGTTCTGTCTTTATCAGTGGCCTTCTTGCTGTGTACTGTCTCATTTATTCTGTCTTTTTTCAGTGGCCTTCTCGTTGTGTACTGTCTCATTGATTCTGTATTTTTTCAGTGGCCTTCTTGCTGTGTACTGTCTCATTGATTCTGTATTTTTTCAGTGTCCTTCTCGTTGTGTACTGTCTCATTGATTCTGTATTTTTTCAGTGGCCTTCTCGCTGTGTATTGTCTCATTAATTCTGTCTTTTGTTTTCAGTGGCCTTCTCGCTGTTTACTGTCTCATTAATTCTGTATTTATCAGTGCCCTTCTCGCCTCGTACTGTCTCATTGATTCTGTCTTTATCGGTGGCCTTCTGACAGTGTACTGTCTCATTGGTTCTGTCTTTATCCGTGGCCTTCTGACAGTGTACTGTCTCATTGATTCTGTCTTTATCAGTGGCCTTTTGACTATGTACTGTCTCATTGGTTCTGTCTTTATCAGTGGCCTTTTGACTGTGTACTGTCTCATTGGTTCTGTCTTTATCCGTGGCCTTTTGACTGTGTACTGTCTCATTCGTTCTGTCTTTATCCGTGGCCTTTTGATTGCATACTGTCTCATGATTCCCTAATTTTTGCTTTTCCTAGGTACACCATATGAAACTTTGTTCTTCAGCAGTATCATTCTCTCTGCATGCTGACGAAGACATTCCATGGTTACCGCTTGTACTTTACTAGTGGAGAGGAGGTTGATATCTTGTCAGTAAAGTAGTATACCAGTTAAATCAATATCTAAGTTGTGGTTCCAGTAAATATACAGAATCTAGTCTTTTTGTCAAAAGTTCTCCATTTATTATAGTGCAAATGCATGATTTAACAAGATCGGAATTAACAACGTCATAGGTAACAAATTTCCTGTAAAAACAACAAACTCTTAAATACTTTGCATCTCTGGATCACTCCAATCAGTCTTGGGAGATTTTAACCATATCTTCATATATTTAAACATCAAAAAGAATTTCCCACAAGACACATAGGTGAATACTGTAGAAAAAAAAACGTTTTATAACCTAAACAGGTATTGGAACATGAAGCGGAATTACGTAGAATTTTCACAGCACAGAATGCACGATTTGCCCCTGAAATTGAAGGCATGGGAAAATTATTCACAATAACACTATATATCATTTTCAGAGAAAGAAAGAAAGAAATCCTATAACTAAAAACTGGACAAAACTGACATTAAAACTGCAGAAAAAATTTTCAGCTCTGGAAGTTGCCTAAAAATTTATTTGCCCAAAGTTAGCGAGGTTGAAGAATAAGATACGGATAAAATATGTTTGGATTTTTATTATTCTCCGTTTGCACTAATGTTCGAAACTGCAAGTGGAGAGTTTCAAAGCTTGACGATATACAGTATATTTCCAACAAACAAACAACCAGTACCGACTGTTGAAAGTCTTGTACTCAGATTTCGGGACCGTAATGCTCATTCTGCGAATAAGAATTACGGTATTCGTGTGATAAGAAATAGCCAGTAAGTACAACTTTTATAATTGTTGTTTTCAGAATTTGGATTTTGAGTACATATTCTTGAACTTGTATATAAATATAGGATAAATCTGAGTGTAAAAGATATGTATTAATGATGATCAAAAGTTAACGTTGTACTTTGTGTTAACATGTATGGTCTTTAGACTACAGACTGTTACTAGATAAGGTACGTTATAATAATAATGATGTATCGATATAAATATAATAGTACTGTCTGTTGTCTGTTTAGATGGATCTTCACCAAAATTGGTATGGAGGTTCAATGGGTCCATGGGGAGATACATACAAATTTTCAGTTTTGTGTTATGCTGTATGGACGTTTTTGCATTTTTTACCATCACTTCGCCCCTTGTTTATGGATCTTCACCAAATTTGGCATGAAGGTTTTTATGGGTGTTTTTGCATTTTTTACAATTACATATAAGCAGTGGCGTGCAGAGGTTCTATGATGCCCAGGGCCTTGCACCTAAGACCTTGGGGAAGTGCGGAAAGGGTTCTACTATTCGATTCGACTCTTTGCATTGGATGCCCGGGGCCCCGGTACCTTTCGCCCCCCCCCCCCCTGCCCTCTGCACGCTACTGCATATAAGGGAAGCGACTTTTCATTTCCTAAGATAACCTTTCATTAATCATGAATTTACATAACTTCCGTCCATCCAGGGGACGGGTACTCCGGCTAGTGTAGAATATAAATCATGAGTTTACATACCTTCCGTCCAGGGGACGGGTACTTCACCTAGTGTAGAATATAAATCGACTGTGTAGAGAACAAATAAAGGAATTTTTCATATTAAAAATAATACTTTGTAAAATTAAAGGTTTAGTTTTACATCAAAACCAATAGATACTGTGTTTATGTAAGTTTCTAAATATTGTCTTTGATTTTAAATTACAAAGTAAGTTGAGTAGTTTGGCTAGCTGAGAGAGAGAGTGATTGATTATACTAATTATATAGACGGCTGAAGAACGTTTATTAAAAACCTGTTGTTAAAAAAATGTCATTGTTTTACATTTTTTAAAAAGAAACCACACATAAAAATGTTAGAACTCATATTATAATTTCCGCCAATAAAGTGAAAGAGTAATAGTTTTGTAACAACAGGTTTAAAAAACACGTATAAAAGTGTTAGAATTCGTATTATTGAGGGAAATGAACATATCTAAATATTTGTTCGTAAAACAGTATGTGTTTCTTTTCAGTATTAGTACCTTTATGTATTTGACGTGTATTGTTACATGAAAAGTGAAATTTTGATCCTTTCTGTTTAAAAATAGCTAAACATCGGCCCTCTGTTCAGGTGATATTCGGATAAGGACGGCTAGTTATAAATAATTTTCATAACTTTTAATTTCATTATAATGAATACGCCTATTTGGCTTTCTTAAATGAAATTATGCTAATTTTACATATCAAAATGATTTGACTTTGTACGTGCTTCGATTTCGTTTAGGCTTGCCGGTGAACAGGGTTAAAAAATTCGTGAAAACTAAATTAGAAATACGTTATAATACTGCTCATTAATAAATGTTTATGAAAGATTACTTTGGAGGAAAATACTAGGATAAAAATTAAAATATTTCATTCCTTAGTTTTCCTCAACTTCTCTTGAATTTCCTGTAAATAAAATTAATAATCTTCATCAACACTAGAATCTTAGTAAAACAAAGAAAACTTATGAGATTAGAAAATAAACATAAATTAAAAACACCCTATTTATAAAGTGAAAAGGAATATTGAAGCCTGAAAACAATCTACTAACTAATAATACTTGAATAAAAAATTCATTTGTAACTCTGAAATTTCAATGGGCGAAAATAATAAATAAGATTTTTAAGTTGCTATGTACTTTGAAAAACCATACAAGTACCAATAACGTGAATAAGAACAGAAAGTTACATGTACTATAAAAGGTGCTGTTAGTTTAGAGAATTCTGTTTTATAAGTACAAGGAACTTGGTATATAGTTTAGACAGTTCAGATTTTGATTACAGGTAATTAGGCATACAATTTAGAAAGTCCTGCTCTTTTATTACAGGTAATTAGGTATATGGTATAGAAAGAAAGTCTAGTTTCTGATTACAAGAAATTAGGCATACAATTTAGAAAGTCCTGCTCTTTTATTACAGGTAATTAGGTATATGGTATAGAAAGAAAGTCTAGTTTCTGATTACAGGTAATT